CTCCACAACGTCTTGATCATCAGAAATATCACACAGACACGTCATGATAGTTGAGGTGATTTTAGAGTCAAGAACAACGCCCTCAGACCCCATTTTCCGAAGTAAACCAATTATTTCCTCTGTTTGACCCTGTACACTAAAGCCCTTCAGCAATGAATCATAAACAGAGATGTCAGGTGAGAAGCCACATGCAGTCATCCTCTCAAACGTGCTTTTAGCCTCTTCCATCAGTCCTAATTTTGATAACCTATTAATCAACATTGAAAAGGTAAAAGCATCGGGAGTCAAACCCCTTCTATGCATGTGATCAAGTAACTCATTGCCATACTGAATGTCCCCGGCCTTTATTGACGAATTGACTATGATATTATACGAGATAACATCTGGTTGAATGCTTCCATCAACCATCTCTTTAAACAGCCTCTTTGCTTGCTCGAAACTACCCTCTCTGCACAAGGTTGCCATCAATGTATTGTAGTCGGGCAATGTAGGAGTAGGACCTAAGGATCTCATTTTACTAAACAACCCTTTCGCAATGTTTAGGATGTTACGTTTGCAAAATCCGTCAATCATAACACTGTAAGTCCGTGAATCAGGAATCAAGCCCAATTGTAAAACCTCCTTCCACAGTTCCATAGCTTTTTCAACATTTCCTTCCTTTAGATAAGCTCCAATTAGTGCAGTATATGTCACCACGTCACCAACTTTCTTATGCTCAACCATCTCACTATTAATTTTTGCAGCCTCGTCAAGACGGCCTTCTCTACACAAACCTCTGATCAACATGCTGATTGTCCAAGCATCTGGGTCAACATAATTCTTGTTTGACAGCATCAAATCAAAAAGTTTCAGAGCATCATTAATGTTCCCAATGTCACACAGTCCCCTCAGAATCATATTGTAAGTAACCACATCAGGATTTTTGCCCTTCTCGACCATCATTTCAAGAATCTTGAAAGCATCACTTAACAATCCTTCCTTGCATAATCCATTTATTAGAATGTTATATGTAATGTTGTTAGGCTCTGCGCTCTTTTCCAGCATGAAATTAAACAGCTCCACCGCTTTTGCAATCTTCCCATCCTTGCAAAGCCCACTAATCAAACCTGTGAAGGTAACAACATCAGGACGAATTCCACGCTCCAGCATAGCATTGAACAAACCCTTGGCTTCTTTCAATTTTCCCATCTTACAAAGACCATTCATCAAACACGTATACGTAACTTGATTCGGAGAGATTTCCTTTCCCAACATCTCGTTCAAAAGTTCCTTCCCTCTATCAACATTGCCATTAATGCAGAGTCCATTTATTAGTGTGTTATAGATATAAAGATCTGGCTCCAACTGCTTCATCCTCATTTCCTCCAACAATCCCATGGCTTCATCAGCCCGACCCTCCAAACAGAGACCATCCATCAAAATGTTGTAAGTAATCACATTAGGAACGCAATAAGCACTCTCCATCTTACACCTCATATCTAGCTTCATTCAAATTCCTCACCGTGCACAATCCTTTTATCAAAGTATTAAAACTAACTACATCTGGCAATACAAAATTTCTTCCCATTTCATCTAAGAATTCCACAGCCTTAACAAATTTGCCTTTATAACACAAACCCTTCAATACAAGATTTGCAACATACACATTAATGCTAAACCCACATTTCAAAATTATACCAGGCACAGCAAGTGCTAATTCCGGCACGTTGAAATGCACAAAACACTCAACCAAAGAGTTTAATGACAGAAAACTCGGCGAAACTCCAACACAAGTCATTTTCCTGTAAACACTGAAAGACA